TCTATTACAGAGTTTGGGTAATCCCTTGGATTACATTACCGATTACAATTTTGATGAGGTATCTTGTGACTGTAACGGAATACAATTTTAGTGACCTTTTGTGACCCTCCCTTGTCAAGGACCCAGTCAGATTGACTGGCTGTAGTTAAAACCTCACAGTTAGAATGTGGGACACTCAAACACACACAGACACACACGCATGAAAAAAACAGACACTGGGATTAATATCAAAAGCTGCTTTAGTCCTCGCTGATATGATGGATGATATCTGGATTTAAAATTTAGGATGTTGGCTTTGTCCTTTTCAAATTCGAGATTGAATCCCTAGAAACCATCAGAAAATTCTAATAATTGCTTCCAAGAATGACTTTGTATGCTGCACGTCTCTGAATATTATGAAAGAAAGTTAGCCAAAAATCCCCCTGATATTGTAGCATGTTATACAAAACTGTTCTTCTTTTACAACTGCATCAGTTTAAATGTGTTGGTGGAGATGAAGGATCACGTCTTGTGTAGATGAACACATGTATTTCAGTCAAATACAAATTCAATGCAGAAATGTAACAATATTGGAGGAACTAGTAACAAAGCGAGGCTTAAAGTGGGTTTATACACAACAGACAAAAGTAACTCCCACTGACAGAAAACTTGAAAACAAGATATGCCCTTTAAATTGTTTGTCAAGCAAAGAATTTTTTCCCCCCAAGTCAAAATACTTTTTTAAGTTACGCCTCTTATTGGTTTATACGTTAAATCATTTCCTCCAGGGATAATGCTTTTGCATTTTCTGACATTTCTGGATTTTGTGTTTCATATATGGCATCTAGAGCTTTTTCAGTTCAGACACAACAAGAAGAAAATATTTTATGTACGGAATATTCATGCAAAGGGTGGGGCCTGGCTAGAGCTTGCAAAAGGCATCTATTCTCGAATCTCTGTCTTTCCAAGTTGACATTTTAGACGACATCTTCTAAAATGGTACCTCTTTTTTTAGCCTTTTTTATCCCGTTACATGGACTTAGTCAGACATTTTCTGGACATACCATAGGGGGCTGGCAGGAAAAATGTCCAGACATTCCGACTCAGACGTTTGAATTCTCACATCCAGCCCTTCCGGAACATTTCAGCACATGCATGTCTGAAGGCAGCTTAAGTTCACACAGTCGGGGAAGCACCTGGGCACCTTTTCCTCCTGCACTTCAATTACACAAATGACAAATTACAGGATCAGTTGTGTTTTGTGTGTAAGAGCATGTGTCGTGTGAACATACAGATTTATGTGGGATCAATTTCACTTGGAGGCTATTTCCACACACGCTTGTAACCTATCTGTGTGTCTGACAGTCCATTACCAGACAACAGGTCTTATGTGAACTCAAAGATCCCGTCTCCTCCCAAGTGTCATTCATCCCTCCTTTCTCTCTTTTCATCAGTGGCTCCGTTTTCACTCTTTGTCCTTGGATGTCCCACATGTCCTATGGTCATAATCTGAGACATACATCCATTCATAGTTTAGGGTTCCTGTTATCAGGTTAGAGGAAACACAACCTGTTTCACTGCAGCAGTTTAAAAACAATATTGGAATCAAGAGCATTTGGAGAGCCAGAAAATGTTTGTGTTAATGTTCCCAACTCCACATAATGACACAACAGTTGTGATGTTACACAGAATAAAATCAGCTGAAGAAATTAGATTCACATGTTACCTCTGGGGTCTATTGCTCTTCACACGGCATCAAGCTTGAAGAAAGAAAAAAGCTTATTTTAGAGTCTTGATGGTGACTGTGAAGCAGTTTTACTGTGTGTGGAGTTATTCCACAATGTATTGCTTTATGTATAAAGTGAATCTATACCCTTAGGTCTTAGGAGCCTCCTCAGCCTGAGACAAAGTTCTGAGGTTAGTCCTGAAAGAAGGGTATCAGGTGAAGCTGGCCACCATTAATAGCTCAGACTACTCCTAGTCATCCAGAGACTGGCATCCTGTTGTTGTCTGGAAGATTTCCAGTGATACGGTTGATTTACTTGCCTTAATGTGACCTCTACCTTTTCGTGTGTGTGTGTGTGTGTGTGTGTGTGTGGCACTAACAGTGAAAGCAGAGACAGATTACTGCAAGTAATGACAAAATCTAATATAACATGAGGCATTTTCTTCCCTGAAGATGAACACTGACGGATATAAGGATAAATTACAAGAATGCTGACTCACTTTCTTCTTCTGTCTGTCTCTCACTGGCACGGACACATGCGTGCACGCACATGCACACACACGTGCACACCTTTCTAAAAAACATCAGACCACATAAAACATGAGACATTACTTAAAATTCCAGAATATATTGCATCAACATAACAGTAAATCATATACTGATATGTACAAATACAGTGTAATGGTCTTGGTGGTGTGATAAACCCTCACCTGTGGTAGTCATGACAACACAAGGTAATCACTTCAGGCCAGTCTACCTCTGAGTAGCACAACTGTGACTTTACAGACAAGGGACTGACATTCATATCATTATAATGGACGTACTGTATAACCACTGTATTCTTCATTATATCCTTAAAGCTGAAGTATCATCAAGACGCATATTAAAACTTAAAATATTATTTTATTTGGTAACACAAATGAATTAAGTTGTTTAACTTCAAATTAAGGTTAACGAGTTACACAACAGCTAACTTTAATCTGAAAGAACTTAATTCATTTGTGTGTTTGCAATGAAATTTACTTTTTTGTATGAATATTAATTTGATTTTATGCTCAACCAGATATCCAGACATTATACAAGACTAAAGCCATTTTGAGATAATAACATCCTGGAGCTAGAATTACATGCCACTTTCTTTCAAACATTTCTATTATAATTAGTAAATACAAGATATAAAAAAGTACCATTTTGACATTGCATTAACACAGCATAATTTACAATTAGTCCTGCAACAGCCCTGTAACAGTTCCCTTTATACCCTGTATTCAGCAGTTATCTTTGGCTTCTCTCTACTTTCAGTTTTTTCTGATCACGTTGTAACTGAAACTTTCACTCTGTCAATATGATGTCCACTAATGGATGGTGATGATGCTCATAGCATGAGATCCAGAAAGTATGCGTTTCACAAACAGATTCAATCTATGCTGTACTTTGGCTACGTTAGACTGTATTTCAGGTCAGAATTCATTTCTGTATCAGACAGCATTTGGGAAAGTAACTCTCCCAATCAAATGCCAGAATGGAGAATAACATCTACATTTTCAACCAAGATGAAATGAAAAATATGAAGCATATATGCATGATGAACATGGGAGTTACAGTAAGATTATGTATGGCGAGTTCAACAGCATCCTAAATAATACATTTAAGGCACTCCATTATATACATAGTGTGAAGTCTGATGACTATAATTGTGGAGTATTGTCACCCACGATACATATCAGAGAGAAAAATAAATACAATGAAATTGTGAGACATTTGTAAATAAATACAGCAGGGCTATATCCTAGAAACTATACACAAGATACACATTCTTACGGAAAAATTGTGTTTGAGATATTTGTGTTGAGTAATGTTTTCTTAAACAACCTTGGTCCTGTTTGAGTAGGATTGGCCATCATTCCCATCACTTGATGATTTTGCACTTTCAGTATCGTGTTAGTAAGCATGAGAGTTGGTCACCTTTCCACAACCTACAAGTCATCATAAACATCATTTGTTAGCTCCTGCAGCAGCAGCAGAAAGGCCATTCCTATAAACAGAGCCAAGAAGTGGCTCCATATAACACACAGGCTGGTGGCATTTAACTCCTCTCTTTTATTTTCATTTAATTTGTCTGGTTTAAACCTGTATAACTCTTATACTTTCATGGCCCTTGAAGAAACTGAAGAAACAAATTTCCACTATTTTTAAAGTTGTATTTCAAGGGTGGTTTGCTGGTGCACAAAATGTTCTAAGCAATAGGATTAATGGCCAAGATAATACAAACAAGACCAAAATTATCAAAACAACTTTAAACATATATACTGCTGAAATATGACAATGAAGGTTTTTTTCTGCTTAACTAAAAAAAGTGTCCTTATACTAAAACTTGTAATATGTTGACATCTTGAACATGACTTCTCTGTTATTCATCATTTTCATATTAGACATTAAAGAGGTAATTAGGGTATGCCCTGTATTTCATTATAAAACATATTTTTCAGTACACAAACAAGATACCTCACTTCCCGTTCTTCGGGAGAAATCATGAAAGTTAAATACCTCTATATTATCTTTATCTTTAATATTCCTCCACTGCTTTGTGGCAGTCTCTCCTTCAGTTATTTCCCTTTGTCCCTCTGCCAGATGCCATTGGATATAGTGAGCGAGGTGTTGCTGCCCTGCTTGGTATCTGTCTCAGCCTTCATTGCTTGCTCATTAGCATCTGTCAACGGCAACTTCTCCTCTGCCTCTGTCTCTCTATGGTAGAAGTAGTTGAAGTTAGAGACAATAACAGGAACAGGCAAAGCGATGGTCAGCACACCTGCAATGGCACACAGGGTGCCCACCATCTTGCCCCCCATGGTGATGGGACACATGTCCCCATAGCCCACAGTGGTCATGGTAACCACAGCCCACCAGAATCCATCAGGTATGCTGACAAACTGTGTGTTAGGCTCATCTACCTCAGCAAAGTAGATAGCACTGGAGAAAAGGATGACTCCAATGAAGAGGAAGAAGATGAGCAAGCCAAGCTCACGCATACTGGCCTTCAGAGTCTGTCCCAGGATCTGCAGTCCCTTGGAGTGACGAGAGAGTTTAAATATGCGAAACACCCTGACAAGGCGGATGATACGAAGAATTGCCAAAGACATGTTCTGCCCTGAGCTCTCCTCTGGCGTTGTGACCATTTCTGTAACCACAGTGACAAAATAGGGGATTATGGATATAATGTCAATGATGTTCATGAGGTTGTGGAAAAATTCCTTTTTGCTGGGACAGACCAAAAACCGCACACACAGCTCAAAGAAGAACCAGGCGATGCAGGCGGTCTCAATGATGAAGAAGGGATCCGAGAAAGTTGTGGGCTTTGCACCAGGTGGAGCCGTGTAACCACTGGTTTGGTTGAAAGGTTGTGGAACTGTGGGTACAACTGGGTCAGAGTCATCTCTAAATTCTGGAAGAGTTTCCATGCAGAAAATAATGATGGATATGACAATAACAAAAACAGATACAAGTGCTACACCCCGGGCGGCATTGGAGCTCTCTGGGTACTCAAACAGCAACCAGAATTGCCTGTACATGTCATTATTGGGTAGAGGTATGTCAACATCCTTTATAAATCCTTCATCCTCTCTGAACTGCTCCAAGGCCTCACTTCCAAGCTCATAGAACACAATTTCATCTGCAAACACATCAAGGGGAACATTAGCTGGTCGTCTGATCTTACCCCCTGACTGGTAGTAATACAAGATCCCGTCAAAACTGGGTCTGTTCCGATCAAAGAAATACTCATTCCTCATTGGATCGAAGTACTCCATTCTCTTCAAAGGGTCTCCAAGCAGAGTTTCAGGAAACTGGTCCAATGTTTTGAGCTGCGTCTCAAAACGGAGACCAGCAATGTTGATGATGACTTTCTGATCTCCATCCTCGAGCCCACGTTTATCGGCAAATAAATCTTCGCAGCACTCCTTGGTGAGCCGACTGAAGATTGTCTCACTCTCCTTAGTGCCCTCACTACTTAGCAGCAATTTCCAGTTGGAGATCATGCTGGCACAGCTACTGCGCCCCCGCCTGCTTGGGGTTGCCATCGTAGGGGACTGGGGCACCACCAGGGTCTGTGCCAGTGGAATGGGTGAAGATGAGGTGGATTCCCAAAAGCAGGAGGGCACAGTACTGTGGTGGGAGGGTGTAGAGGAAAGTTGAGAACCTCGCAGAAGGTAGTTGCCGCCTGGGTTGTGGTCCTCTGGGGGCAGGTCCACAGTGAGAGCTGTGGTCTCATCAGCATATGTGTCCACCTCATCCTCAAGGCTGCCCTCAAGTTCATCCAGGCTCTCAAAGTCTACCAGGGCCACCTCCATGGCTGCAGTTCAGCCAGTGCAAAGCCTTGACACCCCAGGGTAAGACAATCACACACAGATGGACTGATTGGTGGCTCAATCACACGATTCAGCAGTGAAGAACCAGAGAATCCTGTCGTCAGCAAAACTTACACAAACAGGACAAATTGTTTGTCTTCTCTATTCTTCCCTCCCTCTAACACCTGCAGAGTGAGAGACAGAGAGAAAAAAAGTTAGTGTCTTCCTGTCAATGGTGAAGGGTTTGTTTTGTGAAATTGTCATCAGCTTACAAGAATATCATGTCTGAAAGTACATGTCCTATCATGACTCTTAGTTTCCTTCTCTCTGGAAACCACCAGCACCAGAAAGATGACTGAAAGGTGGAGCTACGGAAATGAAGGTAGAAAGAGGAAGAAGAGGTTGAGGCTGCTGGAGGATTGGTAGAAAGAAAGGAGAGATTAGCAGTAACACTGGGGTGAGGAGATTTGACCAGTTTGGAAAGACAGACGTAGTAGTGAAGTCTTTGAAAGTTCTTTCCACAGTCTGTTATTGTTGAGGCACTGTGATGAGTCATGTAACTGTGAAAAGGGAAAAAAAGCAAATGATTAAACAAAACAGTAACCAAATAATTGGATGTAAGTGTAGCTAATGGAGGGCTTATTTGTAAAAGTGACCTAAAATCAGGCTGTAGGAGGAGAGGGTAGGACAGGACAACTGGGGCTGTGCATTCATTAGTGCATAATTAAATGCCTGTGCTGCGATAGCATGGGCTTCACTTCCTCCAGACACCAGGGCTCATTTATAAGCCGGACTGTTCCCCTTAATTTCCTCTCGCCTTGAGAATACATTAGTCTGACTGTTTCTATTCTGCTGTTTGTTTTACGTCTTTGTTAAATTTATCTTTCATTCACATAAAGAAATAAATCATTTGTAGGCTGACTTGTGAGGTGCATGCATTTGACATTTGTTTGGATCTGTGTGTGCATTGTGCTTACACTGTACACGTGAGCATGTGTGTGATCGAGTGCTGACGCCTGCAGATGTTTAATTAAAGACTCCAGAGATGAGTCACCACCTGAAACGCCAGTGATACCAACCCGGCTGAGGGGAGGGAGAGGCCCGCTGAGTGAGTGAGGAGGACGACATGAAAATTGTTGGGAAGACGGATGTGGGCGGGATGAGATGAGGAAGGAAAGTGACAGTGAGAGAGAATGGGAGTTGAAAGGTGGGTGGATGGAGAGACAGGATGATGAGAGACAAGGACAGAGGGTTTCTCACGGAGAGAAGAAACAGATGACGATGAGGGGGTAAGAGAAACAAGGGATTATGCGAACTGACAGATGTATCTAATAGGAAAAAAAAAACACCTACAGCTTTAATGACGGATCACCACTCAGAGCTAAAATGATCATTCCAATCCAACCCCTCTCTCCTCCCATCTTCCACCACATGACTGGAATGACATGATCTGACCCTTTGAACAACCAGAACTGTCTCATTGTCTTAAAATAGAAGCTCCACTAACAAAACATACAAAGATCAGAACATGGAAATTAACCAATGATATTGCTCTGATTCCTAATGTAGATAGGCCATTATTGTTTAATTTTGCTAAATGCAACCGAAAGACCTAAAAAATGCTTAAATGTCTGCCTCTGAAAGTAATAGAACCCCATGTGAGTGCTCTGACTCTCTGAAAAGACAAATTGTTTCTAAAACGAATCAAGATGGTTGCACTGATTCAGCCGTTTTAGAGACGTGGCCAAGAAGAACTGATCAATGTGGATTTCTTTGAGGGGGAATGTCGATACTGATATTAGGGAGTAAATAAAAATAAAACATAAACACAACAAATATATAGAACTTGAACAAAACAATAAATCAAAACATAAACACTGATATGTCAGTGATATTGACCAGTATTATCAGCTAACCATCGGTCTCTACCAAGATCTATTGAGAGTCTCTGGATTAGGAATTTACTTTCATAAACTGCCATGCAAAACCTGCTCTCTAGACTCTTTCTGTTGCATAAAGAAACAAACAGCCCATGCTATGAGACAGAGCTACAAACAGCAGCACACACCTTACCTGACTTATGAAGAAGCCTACGAGCCATGTGTGTGCAATATTCTGTAAAAAGGTCAAAAAGAAGTGGGACAAAAGGCTCCTCCACAGGTTCTGACACTGCGGCTGCTCTCTGCTAACACCACAGTCAGGATCAGAATGACTAATCTATCACAGACAGCATTGGGTAACCTTATGCTGAAGTAGAAACTAGAGCTGTAGCAAAGGCCACATGTGCACACATGCACACTCACGAATGAATTCAAACAGGCCTGCACACAGAAGAACAAAGGAAAGACAGACAGTGTAAAAGGACCTGATGCTAAACACTGTTCATCTTGTGGATGTGTTTGTGTGTGAGTGCTGTGGGCCAGGTGTCCTATAAACTGTCTCACATCATGATCTGGGTGATGTGCTCAAGGCCCAATGGAGTGGAGCGGTGCGATAAGATCCTCAGATTTCTACATGTTTACACACAAACACATTGAGGCCATATCCATATCTGATTTATTAACAGTATCCCAATTAATAATTGATGCTTAACAAATCCATTTACATGTCTGACATGGCTGAGAGGGAAAGAACGACGAGAGAGTGACGAGTCAGAGAGCTGCCTTCCTGACATACCTCCCTGTCTTCACGCTGTAAAATGTATTTGTGCACACAGGCATGCAGGGAAGCTGTCACTCCACTCCATGAGTATGTGTGAACACAACTGTGGAGAGTCATGTCAACACTGTTAAAGTATGGCTCATTCAATATCATATCAGTATTTAATGATGTGAGATTTAATCCTGATTTAAACCATTAAATACTCAATATGACTTGCTATTTAAAATGATTAATTATTATCATGTTTTCACCCCATCTGTTTCTTTGTTTCTCAACATGATTTTGCAAAAAATACTCCACAGATTTCCACAGAATGTGATGCAAGGATAGGACATGGAAATAGGGCAGATCCAGTAACATGCGTTATAATTCATAGATCTTGATGAGAAAATCTGGCATTTTAAGGGAACTGATTAGTGTAAAAAAAATTTGAACTTGCTAATTAAAATGCTCTACTGAGTTGTAATTGTAAATGAAAAAAACAAACTAAACTAAATGGACGACGAAGCAGTAAATTGAAACGTTTTCTAGATTCCAGAAAAACATATTGGCAAAAATACTTTTTACTTTAATCTGGAAGTTTAGTAGGAAAAATGGCTGCATTAAACACCAAACCAGAAACTCTGACTTTACTGAGATGAAAAAGCAAGTAGTAGTTTAACATTAAAGTATAAATAATCAAATCTACTTTTGTCCACACCCTGGAGTTGGAGGTTTCTCTTTTGACTTATTTTCATCACAAACATTTAAAAAGCTAAAATGCAGTGCAGACAGTTACATTAGTGGGCAAGGACTTGACTTATGGGCTTTAAAGTTCACCCAAAATGAAAATTCACTGCTTATCTACTCACCAATATGCTGATGGAGTATTTGTCCACAAAACACTTCTGTTTACCCCTGAAACTCCAAAAGAGTTTTGTGGGCTCTAACACTTCACCCACCACTCCATCATCATAGTGGTCAGTGAATTTCCATTTTTGGGTGAACTATCCCTTTAAGCTCAAAGAAAAGAATAAATAAATGATGACAGGATACATTTGTACATGATTCTACATATACACATATCGTATTCTGTAATACATTAATATATTCATGTAACATGCCTTTGCCAGACGGTAGCAGCTGCGCTTTGCAGCAGTGAGGACAAAATGCTTCCGAAGAGGTAACGTGACCTTGACTCGTGGTAGGACAGTGAAAAAGAGGTGTCATTGGGGCCCATGCCAACGCATGACTATTCTTACCACTCTATTAATACCTGGGGAGTCAAAAAACCAATGAAAAGTCGTTCTACATATGAAGCTCTGACGCAAACTAACACAGGAAAGCCCTGCACACACAGAGTGGGAGGGGCAAAAGACTGCATGTGTGGGCCAACATGGGAATCTCCATCAGAAATATACTCTTACACGCAGTGCTGAGCAACTGTATAGTTTAGTGAGCTTGCCCTTGTGACACTACCACATGTGCGTAAACATGAGCAGATGTTCAGGAAGATCTAGATTAACAGCAAGCTAAGGCTTTGCTAGCTGGTCTGCAAGAAATACCATCATCAGACATAACGTCTGATGACAGTGAGTTACACTGAGTAATAATTAACCTTTTCTATTCAGCAGAAGATTTGCTTCATTAACTGATGCAAGGCGACCATCACTGTCACTACATGTGTCAGACATACATGAACTACTTCAGACAAGTGCAGCACCAACTTAGATGACTTTCCAATAATGTGTTTAATGTGAAGACACGTTTTTGCAAATCAACACACACCACTGAAAAAAGATACGGACAGCAACACACTCACTTTTGGTGCGGATCAAAACTGCTGACTTCAGATCTTTTAAAGCCATGAAAGGTTTTCAAAGAGATCAAGCTTAGTGTATTACAGCCATTATGTCTGTCTGACGTTAGCTGGTACTTTTTTTTTTCTTCATGTGTTTGTGTGTTTGTGTGTGTGTGTGTGTGAGATCCCTGAGTAATTCCACTCAGGGTTGAGGCTTCATTAAAGTTTCAAGTGATCTTTTGCTTGCAGCTGATCCTGGTGCATATTTCAAATTTTTAATTGGATTGGTCGTCAGGTCAGCCTTTGTTCTTTTATCTCTAAGTACTTCATGTGGCTCTGCACAAATACTGCTAAACTACACACTGTTTAACAAAGGGCCATATTGAGATGCAAATATACTTTACTTTTAAGATATACTGCTGCAGTTGTTTCAACTCACCGAAAATGATCTGCCTTTAAATAATAGTTCAATCCCCTCAGCACACACTGACATTCCAACACACTTTACTGACTAATATTCATTATCACAAGAATAAATCTGCAGTGTGCCAGATGTTTGCAGCTGAGCACAGTTGGTGTATCTGTTAAGTGCGCTCACACAAGTGTGTGTGTGTGTTTGTGTGTATGTGTGTGTGTGTGTGGGGGGGGGGGGTGACTATATAGGACTATCACGGGACATACTCTCACTTTAAGGCACAGTAAATACAGTACGTTTGACCTTGTGTGCTGAAGCGTTTGTTATCAACCTGTGATGTGCTGCTGCTACTGCTGGTGGATGCGGTAGTGGTGGTGTGTGTGTGTGAGGGCATGGGTTGGTAGAGCTGATATTTTTGGACCGGAGTTTTGACCCTATTAAACAGATTAATGCAGGCTGGGCAGCTCAGTGCCATAAGCCGAGGGATCTCTTCCGTCAGATCAACACAGATATGATAGTGAGCCACACAAACACAAAAAAAGCAGCACACTTACACACAAATGTGCAAATCTACAACCAAATGTTCATTGTTAACTTCAGAATCCATGTGTAGAAACTGAACTATATTAAAGCTTGGTTAAGGTTCAGCGTTTACATCAGCTGTGATGAGTAGTTGATTAATGGGTTTTTTTTTCGATTTAAATGCTAATAATTCTCTGGGTCCGGTTTCTCAATGTGCATATTTAACTCTTTCCTTTGTAACATATGAGCATGAAGTAAATATATTTCAATCAGCAGAGACTGATAAAGGAATGACCAGGTCAAAAAGTGCTATGAAATAGATGGTTTCAATATGTAGAAAACTTCCTCTGAGGACAGACACTGGTGGGTGTGGACTTCAAGAGAGGTAACGTCTGATCGGAGGGAAGAAGTTCAGGCATCCACAGTCAAGGTGAAGAGGTGAATCACAAAACTCATGGTGCTGAAATGACAGATGGAACACTTGAAGGTTGACAGCTAACAAGTGATTGGCTCAAGGCAAAGTGTCAGGTTGTGATTGGCTGAGACAAGAATGAGGTGGTGGAGATAAGACATAGTGGGAAATAGGGTCCCCTGCTTACAGAATGTTTCATTTTTTCTTTTGGATTGTTCTTCAGATAAAAAAAAGCTATTTTCTGACATTTCAAATTGCCCATATTTGGGCCATTTTCAGGTTTACTTGCTATATACTATTGTTTGCATTTGTCACTTGTCATCTGAACCACCTTCGCAAACAAGACTGGAGCAGGATGTTTCACAGTGGAAAGCTTTTGTAGCTAATATTTCATATTTTACATTTTATTTTTGTAATCTATGTTGACTGGAGCCATGTAACTTTGGGATATAGACAAATAAGTCAGACCATAGACTGAATGTTAAGATGGAAACCTAGTCGCACCCTAGTGACTGGCTTCAGCTGTGAGAGGGATTTAGAGGACTCCTCCTCTCCATACATTGTCTAAATTTACAGATTCTCTTGTTTCTACCCAGTCTGACTTTACACGTGTCCGATGACACTGTTTGTTTTTCTAAGTGTCGTGTGTCAGGCTGTTAAAAAATCATTGTTAGTTAAAAACCCAGACTTAGTACTGCAACATATAAACAACCTTTTCTTTTGGGTACAAAAATATAATGCAGATATTGTTTATTTACATGATTCATGATACAAATGTCTTTCTTCATTACCATCATGACTGAAAGTGATCCGTTTACAAGCACACATATACTCTATAAGTCAAAAGTGTACATAGCTTAAATACACAACACACACCAGCAAAATACTACTCATCACAAAGCCAGTCATTTCTATCCAGTACAAACACACCTCTTTTCTATTCACATGTTCAGACAGTATCACAGATGGTAATTGAGAATATTTTTTTAATTATCAAACAACTATTATCCGAATAACAGATGTTTATGAATATCGTAACCTTACCCCTCTCTCTTGAGCTTTCACATCACTTACTGAAATATGAATTACAAATGTCCATTTGGTAATTCAGTTTTAACAACCAGAGCCAACAAGGCTTCTCAGTAATGGAGCTAAAAATAGATGCAAAATGGACCCTCCAGTACTTCAGAGTGTGGCAGCAAGAAGGTGACATTATACTGTATGTTTTTATTAAATAAATGAATGTGTCTGACTTTTGTCTTGGTTTGTTAGTTTGTCTGTTATTTATCAGGCTCACACAAAAACTACTTGACAGATATCCAACTTAAACCATAAAATAAACCATAACATTTTGGTGCAAAATAAATCTGCTCTTTTTTAAATCTGAATTAACAACTTCATTATCTCATTAATTCAGAAAAACAGAGCACAGAGATACAGCTGTTGCTGCATATCAGCTGAACCCTGATAAGCAATCCTCTAACAGTGCTGTGTGGTTATGTGGTTATGCTAAAAAGATAAAATAGGCTGTTTTAATGAATTAACAAGATGGCAATACACTTCTGTAGTTTAAAAAAATTGTGTTGATTTCTCAAATAATTATTCATGAATCTAGATGGAGACTGATAACAATGAGTGTGTGCAGTTTGGTGCAAATCCAAATAAAAATCCAGATCTACTAAATGTATATAAGGTGAAACTGAATTAAACATGGCTGATATGCAATATTATGCCTAAAAATGTAAAAAAAAAAAACATCTTAATATGAGTTTGCTCATGTCACCAATGCATGCCCACTCCATATGTCTGTCTGGAGCAGATTTGTTTTCTATGTGCAGTCTCTGTGGGGCACTCATAGCTGACATGGGTGTCTGCAGGCTCCAGGCCAAGTCCCAGTGCACAGCAGCTGGGACCGAAATCCTCCCCTGGCTTTTCGACAACACACACACACACACACACACACACACACACACACACACACAATGAAGGCAACAACAGCATGAGCGAAGTACAGCCAAAAATCAACTCCCGATAAAATAAAAACTTCCAGTGGAGCAGCTAAATACAGCACAACTGGAGGCGATGACACTGAAGGTGAGACTCGTGTAATGTACTCAGGCAGAGGGACAAATAAAAACACAGTTTGATGGAATCAGACAGACGGTCCACGGTCCATGGACAAAGACTGAACACTGCTGGTTAATGTGTCAAGACGCCCTGAATTACTGGCAGAGGTGCCAGTGTGAGTCTGTCTGGATGAAAGTGTTACACACATGGTGGCCGGCAACCATCAGAGCAAAGTTATCAATGAAACATAAAGGCTTCAAGATAAATGAACAATGAAATTTATAGCACATCAGGTCGTAGGCCCATCAGAGGGGATTTGACAATCACTAGGTGTTTTGTAGCAGGTTGAATGAAATTAAATGAGCATTTGATTTTACCTCAAAGTACAGACACTCACTCAGTGTTATCCCTTCCACACACACATACACAGACAGGCATTCCTCTTTAAGCCGGTCTCATTTTCAAAAATATGACGTTATGTTTTTTTAGAAGCTTTTTTTTGTGCCAGATCCAGACAGAAAATATGGCCATCTGGTCTGACTCTCCACATGTCACTAATCCCAGGTAGCGTACTAACAAGTGATGTACGCGCGCACACACACACACAGAGATGCCAAAATGCACCGTGCACACTGAGTGAAGCCACATCTGCTTATAAATGACACACGCTGTACACTTTTGAACCCTCAAGACAAATTTTCTCCGTCACAGTATCAGCTTACTGACATAAACAGACTCATGGCTACAAGTCTACTTATATGTGCATACACAATAACACAAATAACACAACACGCTAGATTATGGCTATTGATTGGTGATCTTCACACAGGAAGAAATAATCATGAAAGGAATCATATATTTTTTATATATATATAAATACAATGTTGGTTAACATTATGGGATATCTACTGTCATTTCCATTAATTTCCGACAAGCACACGTTGACCAATTGCATGGTCTACAGAGCCATGTCATCTCCCCTGGTCAGGGAAGTATGAGAGGAGCTCTTCAACTGTCAGTTTCCATCACAGAACCAAAAAACTTAACCAATTCTTACCTGTTTTTGTAACAGCAGTATTTTACTTTTTAAGCAAGTCTGTTTCTGTGAAGGAAATCAAGCCGAGGTGCTGGATTTACTCAAATCCTGAACATTTTTAAAACAACTAAGATGAAAAAGACGGGAAAACAAATTCAGTATCACAGGACAGGATCGATGCTCAATATGCCAGTCCTGCAGCCTACTAGCATTTTATTTCATATTGTCCATTTCAGTGTTATCCAAATACATTTTACATAATAAAACATTACACTTAGACATCAACAAAAAATGTACATATGTTTTGTTTATAATTTCTCAAGTTATTTGACTGAATCAAACTTACTCAACATGATAGTAAACTTATGGCCCTTTACATTAAACTAATGTAATAAAGTTACATGGTATTTTAAACATGTAATTGACATAGATAAAGTCAACATTATGAGCATACATTGTTTTTGAGTGCAATCTAAATACTTTTTAAATTTCCTTTCCTTTCAAAAATCACATATAACAAATCAACTATCCACTAATCAATAGCCAACATAAATGATACTCAATAAGCTCATACTGTTTCATTCATCATTTTCTTAAATTGAATTATAGTTGAGGAACATTTCAAATCATTGTCCAGAGAGCTGCTCAGGTCACCAATTAAAAATCTATGATTTAGTCTTGATTTTTTTCAGCACCTACTTAAACCAGGGAGGGAAAATAGAAGAGTTGTGCAGACTCATGGAAGAATTGACCTTAATTGAAAAGAATGTATCCCTTCTTTCCTCTGATTTGTTTCCATTTGGGTGAATTGTCCTTCTTTTATTCACGAGTAAAAGAAGGTGGATGTGATTTCTCTGTAGCTCCAGACTCACACTTAAGTAGCGCGAACGTGCAACAGCTGGATGAATGAAAGAAAACGCGCAGGGAGGTGACGGATCATGAGGAGCCAGTGACGGACGCACGGAGGAGAAGTGGAAGCGGAACCTACCTTCAGTCCCGTCACGATCCCCGCACATGCCCGGGCTGTGCTGGCGAAAGTTTGTTCGCTCCGGGCCGTGCCGGAGGCATGGTTAATGAGCACCGGATCCACTGATCCCCACGTACTTCCTGTCGCCCCCGGGTTGACCGCACCGACAGCAGGCGAGGTGGAGGTGCACCGGCCAGATGTGACAATGATATAACAACTGCATGGTTAAATGTGGCTAATTCCCCGCTGGCAAAAAAACCTGTTTATTTATTTTTTCTTCTTCGTCCTCCAACCAAAGCTGCAGCCTGTGGATCTGTTTATCTCCAGGGAGGGGAGGAAGGGAGGAAGGGAGGGAGGAAGGGAGGGAGGGAGGGAGAGAGAGAGAGAGAGATGCTTTCTTGATCACAATCTTTCATGATAACTTTCGCATTTGTAATCACAAATACTCAAACGACACATTTAAAATTTCTATCTAACAACAATATGGACATTAGAGGGATAGTTCACCCAAAAAATGAATATTCACTCATTATCTAGTCACCACAATGCCGATGGAGGAGGTGGGTGAAGTGTTTTAGTCCACTCCTTTAGGAGTTTCAGGGGAAAACAGTGTTGCAGCCAAATTTAATAAAACGTAAGTAAATGGTGACAGATTCTGCAAACATAAAAAACAAAACACAGAAATAAACATAAAATGCCTCCATACTGCTCCTGTGGTGTCATCCAAGTGTGCGTATGACCCCGCATTCAAATTCGACTCAAAAAAGAGTTTATATACAATATGTTTTTAGCCGAAATGTCCGCTGTGATCCAGATGCAAACGCGGCTCATGGGATATCAGTGGCTGATTACCCCTGAAACTCCAAAAGTGTTGTGTGGACTCAAACACTTCATCAACTCCTCCATCGGCATAGTGGCATAGTAGAGTAGATAATGAGATCATTTTCATTTTTAGGTAAACTATCCCTTTAACGATATTCCCCATAGGGATATTGATACTGTTATTGGTCACTTTAACGTCCCATGGCCTGAACCTGCCCAGGAACGCTTAAAACTCCACTGTCGTGAAAGCAGTACTCCCCGAGACCTGTGAACACAGTTTGATTATTAGATCAATAATGTTCGTGCTCAAGAGACCCTTTGGATGATGATGACCACTAGATTTGCTTGAATGCTGAACCGTACAGAATTGTGGATTTTGCCCCTCCCCATCACATTACTTCAGGGCCAGGGGTAATAAAAGTAACCAGAAAGTCTCACAGTATGCGGAAGTTTGGTTTTTCAGATGTATTCGAAAAGGGTGAAACTCTGCTTCAATACTAGCTTCTCTGCATTCCTGCTGCCCTTCCTCTTCTGACAGTTCCACCTGCACCACTTCATCATCTATCGTGTATCATTAAGTATGTGCGGGTCAAACTCCCTGTGGTCGAAGAAGATCGATCGGATGCATTGCTTGTGTATTAATCTCCCATCATCGCTGTTTAAATGGCTTCAAGGTTTCCACACCGACCCCTGGACCTGCAGCCAGCTTCTGGGGGGGGGGGTTGCCCCTGAACCTGGATCATGACAAAGCCACATGGGGATGACTGTGTAGGATATGGATAGGCTTCCCTCTGCAGGCTAATGGAGGTACTGCTGTTTTTTATGTTGTTGTTTGTTTGTCTGACTTATTTCAGTTGTGTTTGGTGTTAAATCTTTTTTGGACAGTCTGCCTGGTAAAATAAAGAACAAGTTAATCTCATGAAACTCTGGCTGATTGTGATAATTCCCCTTTCATTTTGTTCAAAGATATTTCCACTGAGGCTGGTTGCTTGAATGATTGGGCTCCATGTGCCTCAAACAGATGCAGACTGAAGTTGCACTGCTACAGATTATTTCTTTATTGCAGTTTTTATCAATGTGGTTAAAATCTGAAATAAGAACTCAAGATCCAAATTTCTTTATCAATTGTTGACACCATTCAATGCCCTCTTTTCTGTAGCCACAAATAAAGTTAATGGACTGCACATACGGACGTTTTGCAAAAACTACACAACAGATTTCCACGAAATTTGGTAAAGATTCCTCTCAGTATTGACACAGATCTGGACAAAGGAACAGATCCAAGATTGTTTTTTATCCCTTTCCTTAACATGCAAAATAAGATGCTTTTTGTGTGGGACATTTTCACAGATTTCCTAAGAATATATAATAATGCATGAATATTTATGAAAATGATCAGACATACTTGGGGGACTGATACAGACGTCTGCGAGCAATTTTGTATAGATGCAAACAAGAATCAAGATCTAGAAGATTTAAATATGGTTTCATGAGGCCACTGTTGGGCCTTGGTGGAGGTGACTGTAGTTCTAGTTTGACATGAACTCTCAACTTTAGAGTCATTAACCTCCAGATTAAGCACATCTGTTCCCCTGCATGCTATTTCCCAGTGTACGCAGCCACACAAATCTGGATATTTCTGACTGTGTTTTCTGATTGTGTTTCCACCTCCATCCATATTCATGAGTCTCCTTCCAGGAATCCTCAACTACGCGTCTCGGCAGGCCTGATCTCCCACTCTTTTCTCATTTTCTCTGTTTTTCCTATTCCTCACAAAGCTGTTATACTGCCAACACTCTGTGTCTACTCTGCTTTCCCATTAGAGTCACAAAAACATGCCAAAGAGAGAAAGGCGGCTTGGCAACTTCAAAGACAAAGCTGCAGAGACGACGAGGGAGACGAGAATAAAGAGAATATCTGGAAGATTGTCTGTTAGTCTGTTAAATTAAGTTTTCGTTTGTTGCTCTATGTGAACTTTATGTGAACTCTACTCTCGGGGGAATCCAAAAGTATAAGATTATATGGGAAATTCAATATTACATACTGTATATGTATGACAGAATTTGTGAAAATTAAAATGATGCCATACCACTAAAATTATATTTGGAAAAAAGGTATATTCTTCCTTGGTTGGGTTTGAACCAGGCAGATGGAGGGAAAGTAAATGCTCCCTTCAGCTAAGTAACCATTGACTGCTAATGCTCTCCAATCACCACCCATGAATCCACTTCTGTTGCATTCTTGATCAATACGCTAAGAGGTAAGAGGAATAAAAGCAAAGAGCAAATCTGCAGGGGAGAGAAAGTGTGTGTGTCCAGTGGGACTGTGTGAGCACATCTGAAAATCTGTGTTTTTAACATTAGTAAGCTAGAGTCAGGTAGAAAATCATTCACTCAACAAAGCAAACATGAAGCTGCAAAACAGAGGAGTAAAGACCCACCTGCAGAAAGACAGATATGCAGCAGGGGAGAGATGGAAAAGAGAACTGAAAACTAAAAGGGATTGTAGGATTTTTTATTTTTTTTAGTTTATGAATTATTTATACGGGTGAGATATTTTAAGCCCCCAATTTCATGTCTGTGAGAAATGAATGAGTGGAGGAGAGGAGCAGAGAAAGTGGATATCATTTGCCTCCTTGAGTCCTCACAGAGGTGACTTTTATCGTACTGAGCTGCATGCACACACACACACACACACACACAACGCTGCCTCTCCACATGATCTCATTCAGTGAACAGTATAAGAATCCCTAGTATTCATCAGCACATTCTACCATCAGAGGACCACCTGCTTGTAAATGCATTATGGGAAACAAGATCTTTTTGGTAGTGATGCATCCTATGTTTGGTCTCTGGGCTCCTTTTAACTGCATGAAAACTGAAACTATTGTCTTTCTACAAAAATAATGCAGAAGTCACAGGTTGGCTCTTAATGCTTATGAATTTGGTTCATTTCTTTTCACAGAATCAAGGTTCAGCAGCATCACATGAAGAAGGTGAGTAACTTATTCCAGTTCAGCATCTGTAAATATAATCATGTCTCTTCATGGACACTAGGTGGCAGAGAGGCTAACAGCAAGTGGATTCATTGGCCACTGGTTGCTGATTGAGCTCATTTTTAAGGCTGCTGTGGATCAGGATGTAGAGCGGGTTGATCCGGGTTGCTGGACAAAGATGAATATGTGTGTGAATGGGTGAATGGCAAAACTGTACTGTGAAGTGCTTTGAGTGGTCATCAAGAAGAGAAAAGTGAGATATAAATACAGACCTTGTACTTATAATAAAGTGAAATCCAAACTTTGCTGCAAAGTGTGAATCAATAGGGATCAGTTATCTGTGGGGCTGTTTGGTGTCTGTGCTGAGCTGAAACATAAGAACCCGGTAAATTTAGTTGATTTATAAAATACTTCTTTTCATTTCTTTAGTGTCCTCATTACTCGTCACACCCAATATGTTTTTCCGCAGAGACTTTCAAGCAATTAATGCCCCAGCAAATACTTAATAATTCTAAGGTGTTGACCTTACTATGTAAAGTGCCTTGAGATAATAAAATTAGATAAAATTGAATTGAATGGAACAAATGTAAAGGTACGACCATGGTCAACAATTGTTGCTGCTCTACATCAGCCGTGTGTCTCTGATAACCATCATGATCTTAAACGTCTTCTAGCCTTCAACACACACACCTCCAGCTCAGGAGGAATAAGCATTGGGAAGTACAAATCAAATATATGGCTCCTGCAAGGTTGACTTGTCAGAGCAGAAAGTTCCATAAAGACAGACAGTGAAGTGGAAACTTTTAAGGAGGCCCTCCATCTGCTCACCCTTCCACTAGAAATCCTTGTGCAGCTGATGTATGGAGAGGGCTGCAGGTTTACCTCAGTTCAGATGGTTCTATAAACTGTTTAGAAAGTAAAGAAACCCTCATGTCTGTCTTTACTGTGATGCAACGTACTTGCACGTGGTTCAGTTTAATCTCTGCAGGCCCTTAAAGAAAGCATGTGTCAGTCCAGGCTGACTTGCTAAAGCTTTATTATTATTTTCAAACATATCATCATTGCTCTTTTCTTTATTAATACCCTTTAGCGGAGAAAGGGGCCATTTGATTCTGTCCCACATTATCACACATGCTGAAAAGACAAGACACATTCCTTTACGTTGATCGTACATAATCTTTGACACAGTTTTTTTCCTCTCTCACTCACAGTAAACTACTGTATGTAAATCACCTTTTCATGCCTCTCAAGATCCTACTTATACATAAAGGCAAGAAACTAAACGGCTTAACAGGATTAACAGCTATAGGTGTCTGTTATGTTTATGGGGAATGCCTCCTTTCTCCATCTCTTATTGTTTATGAATGGGTGTTCAACTGTCAACTGCAGCGATCAGATGAAATAAAGAATTTAGCTAATTGCAAACTTCTCTATGCATAACCATATTCATACCCATACATATATATATGTTATGTTAATGCG